CAAATTGCGGACCTTCATGGGGTTTCTAAAACAGCTTATAATGTCTCGGAAAAAATTAATTAATGGACATGTAAACCGTATATAGAAAATTAATTTTGGATTGTCTAATTGTTTTAGTAATTCTGTATTTCGTACTTCTCATTGCAGTTGTATTGGGGCTGGTTGCTGTATATAATAATTTATTTACACTCATCCAAAATTTTTTGAAAAATTAAAATTTAAATTTAAAATTCTCTTAAAAAACATTTGCAAAGTCGACAAATAAGCGAAGAATTGTACAAACAGCTCTAGCTAAATTCATTCTCACCAGCAGAAACTACTGGGTATCATATACATAGAGAGTAAATGGGGCGTTGAGAGATTGAAGAAATGTAGGTGCGCGTTTTCGCATCGTTTTCTCCCCATCGACTCACGAGAATAAAAAATATCAAAGGTTACTTCGTACCCAAGCTCGATATTTTTCGTCTCCAAACTTTTATCATATCATCTATTATACCTTTCCGTGGGTTTTTATACTTGCACGTCCGTCAGTATCGTAGATCTCGTTTTCTCGGAGGATGAGTTCGAACGTTACCCCAAAAATAGTGTGTCGATAGTCTGGGGATACGCTGGCGCATTCTCACTTCATTCTCCGGGGATGAGCATTACGTGGGAAAATTGTCAGCCACGTCAAATCGACAAACCTTTCAATATTTCAAGAAGCGTATCATCTTTGAAATTCATTACATTGAAATGCGAGCTTTCAGAATTCTTTAACATCTTGGCTCTGACAGATTTTTTAAATTTGTAATTGAGCCACAATAATAAACAAAAAAAAGAAAAATAATTACTCCTGTTTTTTAGTTTTAATTGTCTGAAAGATGATCGAATGTAATGATAATTAAATCGGGCACGCAATGGAGTACCAGAAAAAATGAAAAAGGATTTTTGTTTTCTGATATTTATTTATATTCTTGGAATGTTTTTAATGTGTAAATTGCTCTAGTTATCAGATTCAACCCTGATTTATTTAGAATTGATTTTAGTAATAAGTGAAAACCGACATTTTCGATAATCGTCCATTTATCTCATAAACGAATGATTTTAGGAAAAAATGTCAATAGGTCTTTTTTATAGCTGATGAAATTTAGGGCCTTTTCCACTCATATGATTGGTCAGTTCTCGCCTGTAGCTCGAACCCCAGAAGGGTAAAAAACCCCTAACAGACTGGAAATATATTATAATTCCGAAGCTGTCAATTTTCCGGATTTTTCATTTCTGTTTTATCATCAGGAATTCTTCTAGTCGGACGGATCCATTCTATTGTCCATTCAGATGGTAATTGATGGTTGAAACCTGGGTTTATAATGGAAGTTACAAAAGTTTTCGATCGCTGTTGTGCTTGAATTAACCAAACAACACGATGAAAATATATTTTCCGGTTATTTTTCACAGATTCCGCTTTGTAAAAAGCATTCTGCCAACTTCAGTGGTTACTTCCATCACCTGTCAACTACAAAAATAACAATATCCGTTGAATTCCGCAAAACCAGGAACAGCAGCCCAACCGGTAAATTCACGAGATATCTAAATCAGTCAATCTCCATCAGTAAAGCCCCGGAGGTATTCAAAACTGGCCAAACTCTTGAATTAACAAAATCCCCGGGATTCCCCTAATGACCATCTGAATGGAACTAAGATATCTCCCCCATTTCCCCTCACCCACCGCAAAAAAAAACTTTCGTAAAAAAAAATAAACACATCTCAACGGTTACCTCGCGGTGAAGAAAATTGCATAATTTTCTCATCGTCAGTCGTCGTATTTTAGCTGTGGAGAACACCCCCTTGGCCCTTTCCACTTCACCGTCGGCTTTTATACATAAACGCACGGAGAAAGAAACCACACTCTGGATCAAGGGCTGAAGAGGTGATAAAAGCCCGCCCCAACTTTTGACTCTATGAGTTTGCGCGAGCTTGCAGTATCTGATTTATACCCCAACCCTTGAATTTAAAACAAGGCTTGTCTCCTAAATCCCCTCTAAACCGCGGCTCTCTAAAATTTTTTCCCCCTCCAACATATTCTCGGCAAAATTATTTGACCTGAAAGACACATCTTCATCCTCCACTCCAAGATTTAGTTAATGGTGCAGATCGTACGGTTTACTCACGTGTTATCTTGCCCTCGTATCGAACAACCCAAAGGGCGGTTACGTCCTTTTTTCTCATATTCTCGGGCTTCATGTAAAAAAGCTCACATGGACCTTTCTCTTTGAGATTTTTTTTTTTTTGTTCACCACTGCCGGGAGCAATTCAAAGATGTTCCCGTTTGGTCACTGTTTACGAGAATCCCTTGGAATCCTATTGAAGATACTAGTCGTAAAATCCTTGCACACCACCAAATAACTACTTTTCCATGGGAAGAAAGCTGGACCTATTCACCAGAGGATCACGAAAGCAGCAACTGCCTCAAGCCGAAAGCTGAAAACGGGGAAAATAATGAACATAAAAAGAAACCATTATAACGCTGAAAAAGGATTCTGCCACACTGATACTCTCTTACACGTCAAATTTGAAATTTTACTGGATTTAAAGTCTAATGCTCACTAGAGCAATCGTAGAAGCGGAATTAAGAATCGCTCTACCGATTGCAGCTCTTTCCTTTTTCCCCTCTTTCTTTTACTTCCTATTTCCTCATTTAGTTTTTTTTATTTCATTCTTCCATTTCCTTGTTCTTATTGGGAATCGAGGAATCGAGGAACTCAATTACTTCCACCGAAGCGAGAGATCAGGCGGGGATTGACCCTTTTAACGCCAAGAAACGACGCCGAGATAACACTGAAAAACCAAGTGGAATCAAACCAAGCATTCGTACAACAATTCTCGAGGAAAAAAATGGTGTATAAATTTATGGAATTTATGAGCCTTGGATCACTCTTATGGTCCACTCATTTTCTTTTGAAAATTTTTATACATTCAATGTTTACTTGAGTCGATTTGTCGAATATTCCAGTTTGACGAAAGACTAGTCCCAAAGCGCGAGTGATTTTTCAGAAAAACTTGATAAGCTGCTTCGTTTGCAGGGAAGCTTGAAGAAAATATCCGATTAAATCTGAAGCTCAAGTTGTATTTGGAGGATTTTTTTTTCGCACTCTACTCGTCCGAAAACCAAATGGAAAAATAATCCAGCCGATGCTATTCGTTCTCTGAAATTAATCGGATATTTTCCTGAAGTTTTACTGTGTAGGAACGAGTGTGCGAAATTTCACAGAAAAAATATTGTTTTAACAGTGCAATTAACCGTATAATTGAGTATTCAATTATTAATTATTAAGTACTCAAATAGCACGCTCTGTTTGACTGAAATTCGAGTGAGAAAAATAGCCAGGTGAATACCGAGTAGCTAGGTCGAATGGTGCTATCCTATTGGCTGAAATCTGAATGGAAAGAATAACAAATGCAATTTACAATTTAATTACTTTTATCTCGCAAATAAAATTGACAATCACTCGCCCGACAACTCAAAATGACAACTTAACTGTTCATGGAGTTTCAGTGGATTTTTTTTTTAATCATGTAAATAGAATGCTGCTCTGGTCATTTCAACCGAGTTAAAACTGATGGAATTTTAACGATGGGTACATTACGAGTTAAGGGGCAAGAAAGTCTGTTTAAACATTGCTCATTCGTAAGGTCACTGCATATCACGCAGCCCTCGAGGGGGCGAATGAATATTGCATATTTACCAGAGACCCCAGAGGGGCTAGAGGAGTGAGTGAAGTTGAGTTTCAAATCTGCGGGGATTCTTCATTCGTTGCGATATTTACATGAAGAAGCGTGGAAAGAACTTCATCTAATTTTTTTTCCACTTTTTAATTGAAGGAGTTTTGTCAACTCTCCACTCCCGGAGCATGACAATTCTTCCCAAAGCACTTCCTTAATTCGCCTCTTCAACTTCTCGAGTAGTGTGTATGAGTGGAAAAGTTGAGGATGAAGTCGGTGACCATGGGCATCCTGATTGAAGAAATTATCGGAAGGAGGCGATGTCAAGGTTGAGAGAATAAATTCTTATGGAAACGAACTCCTCAGGTAGTTGCAGTCATCCATGCGATTTAAATTCTATTTGAATAAATTGAATATATCAGAAACACAATTTAATCTTTGCGAATCTCTTCGACATAAATATTCCAAGTTCCTTAAACAATATAAATATATATATAAATATTATAAAATGGACCTACAAAATACCTGAAAAATTTACTAGTTGCTGGTGAATTTCACCATTCAGTGCCACAGAATCCTAAAGGCTGACAGAATGCTAAAAAATATTACGATAATAAAAAAGTAACGAATAAATAGACAGATTAGATAAAATGAAATTCTGTTTGAGAATTACACGCCTTTGTACGGATTACTGGAAATGGAAAATGATATGGAAGTGCATGTGATAGACGCTACGTTATTTTTTATTTATTTTATTTTATTTTTATATTCTGGCCCTTTCTGCCTTGTTCTTGCCAATTGGTCCTATCTCACCCTATGCATGCGGATGTGGATCATACACTGTACCTTATTCACTCTTCTATAGAACATAGAATTGACAAGGGAAACCACAGGAAAAACCATGTCGGTACAGGTGGTTGCTTTATTACCCATCTCCCGTTCATCGGTGTCTCTTGAAAAATTCGATTCAACGAGGGACCGTTGAATCGAAGGAGGTGTTCACTTCCTCCTGATAATTTTGAAGCCAATGCTTTTAGAGAGGAACCTTTCGTAACAGCAAGACGATTTTTTTTATCGATTTCGATATCGTCGGTTAATCTAGTAGCCCGAAGGGTGAGAGTAATGTTGAGGCCGTAGATAATCTATCGATTTGTATATTTGTACTGAGGACTACAAAATACAGTTAATAAGTTTTCCAAGACATAAAGCCTTGGGATTAAAAAAAAAATCCCCCATCACTGTTGTTAACTTAAAATTACAATTGATGAAAATAAAGAAAATATTGAAACTTTATGTTGCAGTTACAGCGGGGAGCACCTATGCGTCAGAAGACACGATGAAATGGAGTATTCCAAGCGGTCGTAGAAACGAAAGGTCATCGACCGTTGGCTCGAGAGTCTTGTCGAGGCAGAAGGAGCAGAGAAGCGTGACTACGACCTCAAGTGACTTTCCCGAGGCCATGCCAACTCAAGTGTCAAGCACCAATATCCGATTAGATAGGTTCACTCCGATTGACGATGATCATAAGACATCATCAGACAGCCCATCGACAAGTAGCGCCCAAACGACTGACACTATTCTGAAGAATCCCCCGAATCCGCGGGGTCAACGTCTAGATAGTAAAAAATACGAGTTAGCAGATAATGGAGGCAGTTCAATTGAGCGAAAGATAGCCAATATGAATTCATTGGAATCGATTGGTGGGCAATTGGTGAAGACGGAAAGGGTTGGAGCTCTGCTAACGAGCATCGGTGGTTTGCCTCCGACCACGAAACCGGGAGAGCATCCGGATGACTCTACAATGAGGGAATCTCCACGGTCAGTGGCATTAGAATCCATGGAACTTCAACCAAGGAAACCTACCTACACCATCAAAGTCAATTCCCATATGTCTGACAAATTGCCCACGAATATGGGAATTAGGGATACGGTATCAGTTAGCAATGTGTATCCGCAAAGTCCCACGATGACTAAAACCGATGTTGAATTGCATTCCCCTTCAGTCAACACGATTGGCCACTTTGCCACAACTCAGAATTCCCTTGATTCATCAATCGATTCACTTCAATTTCAATTGGAGCCACACCAAGATCAAGTAACGCCAGTTAGAAGTACGAGCGCTGTCCCAGTGGAGATGAGAGAGAAAGATCGCCATATCGGTGAGCTTTTCAACAGGCACTCTGATCAATTCACCCTCTCTCACTCAGTACATGGATATCGGGATCGATGGCAGCCCGGCAATCATGATAACACAACGGCAATGACTGCAATTGGCCTCCGACGGAGGTACATGCGCGATGCTCCAGAGGGTTCATGTGAAAAATTTTCAATCGCTGAAGAGAGAAGACAAGAATTCTACAGTCCAAATTATCCCCAGATGTATCCAGCATCAATAGACTGCGTTCGGATACTCGATGGTAAGTGCCTCATTATTATTTACCTAATGCTAATTATATCGTATTAAACTATCCGTTGGGATGTAGATCGAATATCGGCCAATCGATTTGTGGTTTCATCCCGCTCCACAAGTTTCATCTCTTTCGCCTCGTTAGGTTCTCAGCGGTACTAAATGGATTTCAATTTTCACCCGCCAACGTTCAACCTTATAGCATGTGTCACTCGGACACGATATGGCTAGCCCCCTGGGCTGAACCGCTAAAATATTGGACATGTTTCATCGAGACCTTTAACGATATTGTTTTACGATTTCCGATCTGTGTCGCTACCGTTCAACTAGATATACCGATGAATGATAAAACAGATGACCATTCATGATACAAAATATCAATAACGATAACGGAAAATGCACTGCAATCAGCACTTTTTTTTTTTGTAAACATTTGTATTTTTAGATATGTCAATCGTTTCCACTTCACAATCGGAAACTTATCGGCTCCATCGAATTTCATTGGATTTTATAATTGCCTCTCGATGTCCCACCCGTTCAATCACGTCCCTCACTATTTCCTCTCCCATTTTTTCCTTCACTCATTCGATTATATTCTCAAACTCATTCGATCACAATTCCGTTCCTACCTTCATGGTAGTTATTATGTAGAAAGAACATAATGTGAATCTCCCTCTGTGCGATGCACATACACCTTTACTGTTGTCGAAGATAAAAAAATATACACGGAGAGACGACGCCCCGTATCGCTTTATTGAAAACTCATTCTTCAAATACACTGACGACTAATGAAGCAAAATGGGTTGCACTATAATTTTTTTTCTGAGGAAAATACTCGAGGTACTACAGAGTGGTAGTTGCAATCTCGTATGCGCTACCCTCATCCTGCCATACCCCCATATTCGCGATAGGTAGCTAAAAGACCAGAGTAATTATTCAACAATACGAAATAGTCAAGTAGAAAAATCCACTTCTTGACAACTTTATTGACAGCTCGGACTTTTCAACGCAAAACTCGTCAAGGATTTAATATATCTCACAAGGTCTTTATAAAGCTGTCTAGATTGGGATGTAAGGCCCGCAATGGTGGGCTGGGGTCCTCATCTGGCCGGCATTATCAGATATTTAAATGGTTTACTTAGCCCTTACGATAATCAGATAAGGCAAATGCGCTTTTTTTTACACCGTAATTACACGAAACAACTCTCTTTCTTTCTTTCTATTTTTTTTTTGAAGCGCAATAAACAATTGAGACCAATTGAATATTCATAATGCGTCAAAGAGCATTAATACCCAAGTTGATGTTATGGGAACATGTTAATAAATGCAAATATTTATTATACTATTAATTGCGAGAGTCACCATGTAGCTATAGATTAATATAAAAATCCAATAGCTTAAACAAAAGTTTTTTATGTACCTGTTTTTTTCTTGCTGTATATACTGTAAATATCTGTAAATATTTTTTGTAAATTTTGAATAAAAACATGGTTAAACAAAAAAATAATAATAATAATCAGATAAGGGTTTAATCAGTTTCGAGTCAGACTTACATGAATTGAAAACGAGACGTAAGGTCAACCTCAGCAGATAAGCCTGATATTAACTGGCCAAGGGTCTGGATCAGGTATCCTCCTGATAAACCTGAAATGCGTACCTTATATTTATCAGGTATGGCTCTAATCTGCCTGCAGGACCACCTTGACAGACTTCCAGCTGAAATTCACCGGAAAAATATGCAAAGCCGATGATTTTCCTCCTCCAGCATAAAAGCAGGAAAGCATAAAAGCATCATAGCCTCTGAATTATCACACCAGTCGAAAATACGGGAAAATATCCTGTAAAATGTGTGCCTCTCGTAATTTCCTGAAATTCTTTCTCAATAAAAAAATAAAACTGTGAATCCCCGAGGAGCCTTCCCTGATCGTAGAACGATAGTGTGCGGCTAAATGGAAGTAAAAAACTGAAACAAAAGGAGAAAATAAAATTGGCAAACTTCCCCCGTACGACAGCGTAAATCACTCTCATCCCCTTAAACTTCCGTACAACATGTACCAACGAGAAAAGAGTGCGGCCAATCGATTTCACCACCAGTAAGAATCACTGATGCTTGAGGTGGATTTAACCATTACTTAACTACATCATTTAAATGAACCAATACCCAAATCAATTGGAGTACATTTACCTCGACAGACACGTATAGAAGACTCCCTAAATCCACCATTGGGGAATTTCCCTAAAGAAATTCATGAGAATTCAGTGAGCACAAATTTAAAGGGATTGGAAAAGGCCAATGGTAAGTCTTCCCAAATTTATCCAAATAGCGGAGCAGTTGGCTCTCAATCGGATTGAAGTCAGGGTCGACGTGCTCCACTATTGGAACTCGGACACGGGGTCTCTTCAGGTTCTAAGAATAGCATCGCTTATGTTACTCCGTATGTGTCTGTCGTCACCGTGAATTCTCTCTTCATATCTCATTTAGGATTTATTCATCTCCCTGCGCTACTGAAAAAAAAAACAGAATTAAATTTCGATTACATGTCTAATGCACGTCAATTTTACACAAAAAAATGGTACACATGCATCCAACATAGTTTGTAACAAAATAATTGTGTAAGACAATATATCGTGTTAATTAATCAGCTGTTGGAATTATGGGAGATAAACATGAAATAAATTTGCAAAATAAAAATATGTACGACGACTGGCCCAGATTTGAGTTGACGATTTATGAGGATTCAGTAATATAAATACGGTGGATCTCTCTGGATGATAATGGGCTGAGGAATTTCCATGGAATACCAGAATACGAGACAGCCAGTGGGAAAGGCTTTCCCGACGGTGAGACTTGAAAACGTGCTCAGCATTTGAGGATTACACGGCAGGAGAGACACCGTTAACGGATGAGTCGACTCCTCCATTGGTGCTATTGTGCATGTCGATTTTACCTCATAACACAGTTCAGCACATACACAGAATTATTCCCCAGGAGAACACAACACTCTATGGGGAAAAATACCCCCATTGTTTCATACTGAGTGGTAGTGCAATTTAGCTCGAAGCCAGTGCACCACCAGGAATTTAGATTTGCAGTAGAATTATATCAATGCATCACTCATTCCCCAAATTCTGGAAACAACCAACGACATTATACCAAATTGAGTTTTCTTATTGGAGCCACTGAAATAAACAAACTATTCTCTCCCAACATGTATACACTTATGTTATTTGTCCAGTTGGTGCAATTTTACAATTAACAACATTTCACATTAGTAATTATGTAATCAGAACTGCTGTCTCTGGAAAGGATTCAATTATTTGGAATACTCATTTGGGTGATAGTGCGTTCTATAACATGCTTAATGGATTGTTATAAATATTTTCATTTTAATGATCAATAAGAGGGGAGGGGGAGTTATTGTGGAACTCAGTGTGTGTAGGACAAATAAATTCGGGGATTACAAATTCACGGTAAACTGCACTCACGTCCTCATCAAAAAGTCAAACTTCATGCGTTTTTAACACAATAGACGATTTTTTTAGGTGAAAAAAAAATGCGAAACCACTGAAAACGGAAAAAGCCTCCAAAATGTGAACTTGGTTGGAACACTATATTTTTTTTACCAACCGTCAAAGCGATTGTCAATTTCAAGGGTTTATTCAGGGTTTTTTCCATGGGAGACTCAATCTACCAGAGCAAGCTACCGTTTTTTTTTTTATTATTGTTTTCAATTTTCGGATATTCAGAGGAGACAGGAAGCGCCGTCTCCTCGATAGAAATAATATTTTCTCATTTTCTAGTAATTGACACCTTCGAGATTGAATTTCTAATGAGAGATGAAAAATTCAATTGAAAAACATTACCCCAACGGACTTTCAGTTTCAGAGTTGGAAGTTGAGGAGAAACTTTGGCTGCCGAGTCATCGGTTATTCTTGAATTTCAAGCATGAAGATTCTATCAGACAGAAATCGTTCTTGAGAGAAAATGTGTCAATCTGATTTGAGTTTGCGAGTGACCGTGGACTCTTTTTCAATTCAACGGAATATTTCCAATCGTCGATTTTCCACTGCTACGTCTGAGTGAAAAGTACAGAATAATTTGTGGCACTGGTGGACTGACCCACACCTGTCCAAAATCCATTTTCGAAAATCAACAGTTGACCTACAATTATTCAAAATAAAAATAAAACATTAAGAACAATAATAATGAATTTGAGGCAATGAAGCTGTTGTGCTGGCAAAGTTCACAGCAAATTGCGCCCTCTTAAGGTTGTTGTCGCGCGACAGTCTCTGTAAAAAGTTTATCCGCTGTAAAACGGGCCAGTTTAGAACACAATCTTTTAGCGGTATATAGTCTCACTTGATTGATTGCATTGTGCATGGATAGCTAAAGCATAACTATATATTTTCCATATTAACTATTTTCAATTATATAAATTTATGAATTTCCGATAATTATATTCCGTAAACCAAACGGTCAATCGATTTGATTTTTTTTTCTGTATTTCCTCCCACAATGTATATTCCACGTTTTTTTTTATTTCTGAAACTGTCGAGCCGTTGATTTTTAAAAAATTCTAATCGGCAAAACTCCATTTAAACACGTGTTAAATCACTCGAATTTCAAAAATTTATATCTCAAGTTCAAAACGGTCAATTGCAAATGAAAAAGGCTCATTTTGTTGCTAATTTTTCAAACTATTCACCATAAAATTTTTAACGAAAACTGTCGAAAAAAAATTCTACGCGACAACAACCTTAATAAGACGTGATAATCAGAAAATTTCCATTGGAATAGTGTCTCCACCATTTATGTCTTTTCAACGTCTCATTGTCTGTTGGGTTAATGGAGGTTGGAAGATATCGCATCGTCAAGGATTGAGAATTTAGGATCACTACGTGCATTTGGATTCTGAGGGTGGATAATGGGATCGTAACACCCAAACGGACACTATGAGAGTGCTCAGCAAGCATTACACGTACTTGAGCCACTTGTATTTTTAAATTGAA